TATGAGAATGCACAGTTTGCTGAACTATTGTCCTTTTCACATATACATGGTGCAGATGACCTGTTGCCCATTTTCAAAAACTAGTATGCTAAAGACAAATAGATTGTTTGCATCCTCATACACCTGAAAAAGGTAAATACATACCCCATGCTAACATTATTTTGTTTTCAGAACTAAAATCAAAAGAAGAGAATAACGCTTGTATGAATATTTAGAATTATTATCAAGTCTCCAGGAACTACATCAAAACTTTCTAACCTATGAAATCCAACTATGAACTTTTCAACCTCTTTCTTTTCCCAAAAATCCATTTAAGAACTTTTCGCTTTGGTATGTTTCATGAATTAATGTAGTCCATAATACATCTTATGTAGTGGGTTTTAAATTGGCTTATAGTTGCTTAAGTAACAATTCAAGGTTTAACTCAGAGCTCAGTTTCACCACTGCCACAGTTCTCAGGTTATCTTTGCCAGGGAGAGAACATTCCAGTCATTGTTCTTTGTGGATTGTCTGCTGCCAACTAATAACTACTTAAGTTACTAGGTATCATTAGGGGGGATCTCTTTCAGGAATTCCTGGGAACTAAGAAGATGTACATAATCAAATATCTGGCTTTTCTCAATCCAAGTTTGGCAGCACTTTTAATATTCATTGAAGGCAAAACAAAATAGCGCATGACAAGTTCCCACTATACAAAGTTCATAAATGACCATACTTCTTATTACAATGAGAAAACATCCATTTTGCCATGACTCTAACCACAAAAATTATCCCTCCTACTGAAAATGTAGCAGGTGTGGGGGCCAAACACCTGGCTTTTAAAAACATGGCTAGATATGTTCTATTAATTCAAGGGCAAATTTTAATGTAAATGGTATGTATCAACTCTAAAACAACAGAGCTGTATTATATACTTCTGCAACTATATCTGGTAGTCTTTAAATTATTAAGGTAACATTGATTTACAACACTGTTACCTGTTTTAGGATTATAGGTTCATGTTGACACTTTTTCAAATGTATGTTGTTCCACCAAAGCCGCCACAGACTCCCCCCATAGTATACCGGGGTCCCCAGCCCCCTCCCTCCTGTACTCCCCACCCTACCCTTCTGACAGTCTCAGCTCTGCGCTCAGATTTCTAGGGGTTGTTAGGGTTGGTTTTATTTTGTTCCTTTGCTTTGTTTCTCTATGTTCCATATATGAGTGAGATCATCCAGTATTTTAATTAATGTTGATGTTATGATGATGTCTGTCATCACCTGTAATGGACATAGATCCATAGCTATAGGAAAAGCCAAAGAAAGTCAAAGCTGGTCTACCAGTACTTAACAATACCGATAAGGATCAGGATCCTATCCCCTAACCTAGATTCCTTTCATAATCATCTTTCTTTTTTACAAATCACCTAAATGAAGGATTCAAGTTAGTTTAACAAATATATGGGATAATGCTTGAGTATGGCAATTTTAGACCTTTCTGCTAAAAGGTCTAACTAGTCCCCTGAACTCAAATTTATTAATAAAACACCAAGGAAAGATAGTTGACAGCCAATTATCCCTAAAATCTTTATAGTGACTTGTCAGTTTTCTGAACTTTTTAAAAAATCTGGAACTTTAAAAACAGGGCTTTTTAAAAAGTGCTGATTGCTACTTAGAAGCATTAGTTTCCAAAACAATCATTATCTTGAAAATGAGAGTCTAATATGAAGATAATCACATTCACATTAGGCATTAAATGTGCATACATAAAATAGTAAGAATCTATATCCAATAATCAGCTGTCCTTACCAACATCAAGTGAACCCATTTCTTTGGCTTCTGCAATAGCTACATACTTAGATATTTAGAAAACATTTTTAGAATCTTAAATAGTTCATTAAAAGGAAATATCTCTACTCTCCAAAAGTTTTATCCCTCATATTGAATAAAAAACTGCTTAAGAAGATAATTCATCAAGCTTTGTGATTCAGTAGCAAATTGTTCTACTATTCTGGAACCAAAATAAACAGTTCATCTCCTGAGATCAAAAAGTCTTCTGAACTGTTCTCTTCCTATGAAATGTTACTACAGTTACAAAAGATAAAAAGATGAACTCTGATTGCAAACATGAAGGATTTTAGATCAGCCATATTTCTTTTATTTACATGAAAAGTTAAAAATCAGATGTTTACATGCTCAAAGACAACCATTTTGTGACCATGTATTATTATCAAATTCCCTGAGGACTGTTTCCCAGATTTTTAAATCAAATGCTAGTTAACACTTAGAAAAGACTGCCTGGTAAAGGAGGATTAACTTGCTGTCCAAATGTATATAATTATTTTTCTGTCAACTTGGATTATATCAAATGCCAGCCAACCCTTCATAAAGTATTCACTTTTATATTATAGCTGACATCCGGTGATGACTAAAATATAAAATAATTACTATGCCTTTAGTTTGAGTACAAATTATAATTTTAGTTTATAAAATTATATAAGCAGCTGTGTAGTAAGTCCATTCACATGCCAGATACTGTGCTAGGCATGAGAACACAATATGACTGGACAGATAGGCCCAGCCCTCTCCAAGTTTTATGGGTTTTGTTTTCATGCCTCATACTTTAAAGTTTAATTTGTGTTTCATTTGTCTTAAAACTTTCAACTACTCAAACACTTTGAAAATATTTTCAAAGCTAGCTTCTGTGTTTCAATTTTGAATGATTAAATATCACTCTAAGCAGAACAAAATAAAAAGAGCAGGATGCAGTAAAGTTCAATAAGCAAACTTCCTCAAAATTTTATCATTTCAGGTTCCCAATATTGTTTTACAATCCCTATTTTCTACCTGAGAAAGATACAATTATGCTCAATTAGTTATCTTAGTTATATAAATTATATATCACAAGGCATACAGTAATATTGCTGAAATTCTTAGCTTGTGGTCTACAGAAATTTTAAACTATATATTTGAGGGTTGCACTGGCATTTATCAGGTAACTGTTTTATCATCAATTAGATTTTCTATCAGAGGATGAAACATGTCATTTAAAAATTTTGGTCTCTTACAGGTAGGGTAGAATTATTTAAATCATTTTGAAACCTGGGAAATGAAACTCACAAGCTTAATCATGTAACTAAATTTTTAACTCTAACTTCACCATTGGGTAAAAAACACTACAAACAAAAAGACCTCATGTATTAATGATACTAAACACTAAAAATATTTATATTAAAGAAATTTTATTCCAGTATTTCCAGATATCAAGCGCTTATTCACGGCTTAGTTTGAAATACCCATATTTTAAAACTCTCAACCACTGCAGTATTTTAAAATTGCTTAAAGACTGAAGAAATAGAAGTCTATAAGGGAGATAACATAGGAGAGAATGATGCATATCATCACTCTGCCAAAATACAAAATGTCATATTATAAGTGTTTGTATACTCACCTTGAGTGAAAGCTGGTTTTATGAGTCCAGTAGCTATAACAGTGGCAAAACTGATGTGATGCAAGTGAAATGTGTTCTTTCCTCTGAGGAAAATTCACAGGGGTCATGCAATGTTGACTGCACTGTTATTTGACATACCAGGTACTTTTCCAAAGTAATGTTTATATATACATATATTGAGAATGCACACACACACACATTTTACATAAGTGTATGGCAAAAACAGCTACTGAAGAATATAAAAAGTAGTCAGGATTTGGGGGGCTGCTCAGGGAGAGTCATCTGAAATTCTTTTAGTACTGACACCACTAAAATATGAAATTATTTTTGATAGCCATTACAAATGTATTTTGTAAGGTTTTAATGAAAACTCAAACCACTTTATTTAATATACAGATGAGCATACAAATAATATTCACTAATGACAAGAACTACCAAACCTGTGATTTATAAGCAAGTAATTAACACTGAGTCAAACTAGTTTATAAAGTTTTATAGTATTTATTATTGCTGTCCATAGTCTCTAAAGTAAATTCAGTCACTAAATTGTGAATACATTTTGAAAGAAGTTTAATTTTTTTTTTCAGGTAAGACTTTCATGTACAAAATATAGAGATTTATTTTAAAGTTGTATCACTCTATATTGTCATGAGACACTTTAAAATAATTGAAACATTTCCTACCATGTAATTGTATGTTTTTAAATTTACACTAAGTAAATTATGACAAGTAAAAGCAAGCATGATTGAAGAAAATTTATGGAAAAGCACTTATCAAAAAAAAAAATACATTAAACAGCCCATTTCTAAAATTAACCAAATAGTTTTAGGCATAAAGTTTAACATCTGATATGTTCATAAAGTATTGAAAAGAAACACACAACTTGACTCAAGAAAAATAGTGTTTGTGTAACATTTATTTGTACAGTGAGCATTTCAGACTTGAAATAGAAAAGCAAAGCGAATCAGGCAAGAATTAAAAAAAAAAAAAGTAAGGATGTGTTCAGTGCTGGAAACCACCTAATGTTCTCAGAGATTTCGCAAAGAATCAGTTCAAAAAAGTTTTTCGTCGGAGAATTTTCACCTTGGGAACTTTCCAGGTTTCAGGAATACCCCACTGTAGGGGAGCCCAAAGCATTATTTCTGTATTCTATCAGCAGTTATGTTTTTTGTTCTAAATCCTGTCTAACAAATTCCAGTTGTATGCTCATGAAAATTTTAACTCTTCCTGAAATATTAATTCTAACTCAAAATCAGTTAGGCTAGGATACTGGGATGTGCAAGGCAACACAGAGAGATTTTGGTGATTCTGATTGTGGAAACAAAACTGACGAAAGAGGGAGTAAAGGGGGTCAAAAGAACCATTTTCAATCTCAAAGATGCCTGCACAGGCCCCTGCAATCTTCCCTACTGGCAGACAGCCTCATCAACTGAACATTCCTAAAAGACCAAGCTCCCTAGGGGCTTTGTTCCCCAAGAGCAGCTCCCATCAAATGTAAAACAGGAAAACACATAATTTCACACGTAGCCTCTACAGTAGCATAGCATAGGCAAATACACCTTTGACTTTACCTGTTTTTATGCCGAGTCTTCAGCAAGTTTCTTCCAAAAGGAGCCATGATCCTCCCCAAACCAGCCAGCGAGCAGCACCGGATCGGATCGCAAAGTTATCTGGGGGTGAGAGTGGGGTATCTGTATTTCTAGGAGGACTAGAGTGGAACTGGAAGCTTCCTTTTCGCCTCCTCGTAAGTTCCTGGCTTTCAGCTCATTAGTAGCCGGCAAGGAGAGTTGCTTGAAGTTGTGCAACTGCTGCTTAACTTTGAACTGCGGGATTGTTGAGGCTGCTGCACCTTTGGAGACCTGCCCAGCTCCAGCCTCGAAGAAGGCGTTTGGAAGCAGGAAAAGAAAAAAAAGCGAGAGAGACAGAGGAAGGGAGGGGGACTCTATTGTATTCGGTAGTTATTTGCAGACTTGCTAAACTTTAAGAACTGCCAGCACCACAGGCATGGTAATACCCATGGAATGGGAATTTCACTCGATTTGGAAACCGCCCCCCCCCCCTTTCCACACCCAACCACACAAGGTGAACTGAACACACATAAAAGGATTAAAAGTAAATACCCCCATCTCCCAGCCAGCTTCAGTCTGAGAAAAGTAATCTGATCATGGCAAACGAGAGTGAGGGCCAAGAACTCTTCACTGAACTATTCCACACACAGAAATCCCCTGCCCGGGGTATCCGGGCTTTAAAATACCTTGAGGAAAAGCGAAGCCTGACAGACTCCACATCACTTGGAAATGTGAGCCACCCCCT